AGACCCATTGTAGACCAGCTGAGCTATTTAATGGGTTGGTTCTCAGGTTTTCCTGAAGCAGGGGAAGCAAACCATGCCAGAACACTAATGGAGACATGCTGGGATATGCCACCAGCAGAAGAACACCAGCTGAGGCAGGGCACACTGCATAGTATGAAGATGTCATTCCTGCGCCTACAGCTATTGACACCCCAACAGGACAGGTCACAGCAAGCAGGAGCTTGCAGCAAGATTGGCAGATATTGCATGCTGTGAGGGGATATCCCACCTTTATTAATGTTGAGGATCTCATCACCAGCAGGTAGATTCCCAGTCATACCAACAGCATGCTTTTCAGACTCTCTGGGCTGGAAGGAGTCACCACGGCTTCCTGAGGGGAACGCTAGAAAAAAAAAAAAGGGAGATTAAGTCAGAGTTTCCATTCTCATTCCCTCCTTGGGGTAGTTTAGGGACTGCCTTTGAGATGGCTACACACCCATCCACCCCCCTCCCTCCAGGCACTAGCAAACCCACTCACCTCCAACTCCAGCTGCAGTTTCAGGAGTGACTGATGGTAGATGCCTGATAGAAACAACGCATGGGTGCTCAGTCTCAAATTGGGCACCTCAAGATGAAGCTCCCTCCCCTCCCTGAAAGTCTTTGCAGAGGTGGCAGCAAGAGCTCAGACAATCAGCATTGATCTGGGATCCAGGCAGAGTCTTTGGCACCTGCCCCACCAAGGACAAACCAGGCTAACACAGCTGCCTCTCCCATAGCAGCATTGGATTTGTAGGGCCCACAGAAGTCAAGGAAGCAAATACAGTTCTGAGCAGCATAGGGCAGTGAATGAGATGGTCATAACTTGTTGCCACTTTACCAACCCTACCTTCAGGCACCAGGGGCTTCCATTCCACAGGTCTCACCCTGGAGTATTCAGGGCACAAGAGGAGCCTCTTGTGCAGTCTCAAAGCAGTGTGCCAAGTCCTTTTGACTGTCCCTGAGAGGTCCAGAGCAGTGTTTGAGTGATTCCACAGAACGCTTTTAGAAACACCGGTCTAGAGCCATGTTCCGTGAACAGCATTCAACCATTATGCAATTACTTCAGCTGCCCTGGTTAGGCATTTAGTGAGGATTCACTGGTACAACATCCATTCGGCAGGGAGTAGCTGGATCTCAAGGAGATTCAGAAACAAGTCAGGTCAGGTGAGAAGAAGGTTTAAGAAAAATTAAACTGCACAGCTGTTATGTACGGAACATTGTAGAGGTAGTTAAGCTTAGCCCTCAATTTCCATCAGCTCAGATCCCTGGTACACAAGGAATTTCCAGAGTGTCCAGGAGAATCAAAACTCCCTCCCTTGCTATGTTCAGTCACTTCCAAAAGCCTCTTTAGATTTTGAGCCCTAGGAATTTTCAGCCTCATTAGGGAGGCTGAGGCATAGCACGGTTAAGCAGCAATACCAAGGTCATCAGTAAGTTACTAATATTAAACAAAAGGCAAGTTAGCAGCTAGTGGAGACAGATGTTTAGGCCCACATCCACAATGCTGCTTGTGGATCTAAACAGCCAGCCTTAGGCATGTCAGTCCCTGTTTGGCACCACTACAGCCCACAGCACTTGTCAAGCCCTGCAAGTCCCTCAGCAACCTCAGGCTACCTAGGCTTCTTCCTCAGGGCACATGCACTACTGCCTCCCTCTAGATAGGTAAGGTACCCAAGCAATTCACAAGCCAACATTAATAGATATTCTCTATGTGATGGATGGGTCAAGCCAGAGACTTTTTCCATTTGATTGCATTGAGACACCAGGAAATGTCAGATAAATAGTGAGAATTTTTAGAGTGCTTATACACAAACATTAGGGCTATGTCTAGATTGCATCCCTTTTTCGTAAAAGGGATGCAAATTAGACATATCGCAATTGCTAATGAAGCAGGGATTTAAATCATTGCATAAAAATGGCTGCCGCTTTTTTTGGCACGGAGCTTTGCTGGAAAAAAGCGCCAGTCTAGACGCGGATCTTGCGGAAAATAAAGCCTTTTCCGAAAGATCCCTTATCCCTCTTAAAATAAGAGTCTAGACTAGTGCTTTTTTCCAGCAAAGCTCCGTGCCAAAAAAAGCGGCAGCCATTTTTATGCTAATGAAGCAGGGGAGATTTAAATCCCTGCTTCATTAGCAATTGCAATATGTCTAATTGCATCCCTTTTATGAAAAAGGGATGCAATCTAGACGTAGCCTTGGGCTGTGTCTAGACAGGCATGATTTTCCGCAAATGCTTTTAATGGAAAAGTTTTTCCGTTAAAAGCATTTGTGGAAAAGAGCATCTAGATTGGCACGGACGCTTTTGCACAAAAGCACTTTTTGCGGAAAAGCGTCTGTGCCAATCTAGACGCGGTTTTGTGCAAGAAAGCCCCGATCGCCATTTTCGCCATCAGGGCTTTATGGCGCAAAGCAGTTCTCAGTTGTCTACACTGGCCCTCTTGTGCAAAAGCATTTGCGCAAGAGGGCTTCCCCCCCAAACGGGAGAGTCATTGTATTTGCGGAAGGACACTGACAATCTTACATGAGATCGTCAGTGCTCTTGCGCAGATTCAAAGCGGCCAGTGGAGACAGCTGGCAAGTTTTTAAAAGCAGCTGCTTTTGCGGAAAAGCTTGCCAGTCTAGACGCAGCCCTGCTGTCCATTCACACACCTTTTTGCACAAGAGCTCTTGCGCAAAAAGGCTTATTTCTCATACAAGGAAGAATAACTCTTGTGCAAAAAGCCCTGTCTGACGATCTACTGTATTTTTTCTTGCGCAAAGACTCTGCAGTGTAGATGTAGCCAAATTGAAAAAGTCATCTTCATTTGCAATTTTGAAGTGTTTAATTTACATCCCTTTTTTGAGAAAGGGATGTAGTCTAGATACAGCCTAAGAACCAAAGAAGTGCCACTGTGACTTAACCACCAAGTAAAAGAAGCAGTGACAGATAAGATATTTTAAAAAGTGGAAGTTGAATCCTAGTGAGAAAAATAGAAAGGAGCATAAACTGTGTCAAATTAAGTGTAAAAATACAATAAGAAAAGCCAAAAAGGAGTTTGAAGAACAGCTAGACAAAAACACAAGTAGTGATACCAAAATGTTTAAGTACATCAGAAGCAGGAAGCCTGCTAAACAAGCAGGGCCTTTGGACAATCAAGATGCTAAAGGAGCACTCAAAGATAAGGTAACTGCAGAGAAGCTAAATGAATTCTTTCCTTCAGTCTTCACTAGGGTTGCCAGGTGTCCAGTTTTGAACCAGACAGTCCAGTATTTTAGCTCTGTTCAGGAAACAAATTGAGAAAATAGAAGTGTCCAGTATTTCCTAAATAGGATGTAATGTAGATTGTGATGTAATGTCAAGTGTGTCCAGTGTTCTTGTTGAAACCATCTGGCAACCCTAGTCTTCACAGCTGAGGCTATTGGAGAGAGTCCCAAACTTGAGCCATTCTTTTTAGGTGACAAAACTGAGGAATTGTCCCAGATTGAGGTGTCAGAGGAGGTTTTGGAACAAATTGATAAACTTTACAGTAACAAGTCACTGGGACCAGATGGCATCACCCAAGAGTTCTGAAGGAACTCACATGTGAAATTGCAGAACTATGAACTGTGGTTTGTAACCTATCCTTTAAATCAGTTTCTATACCTAATGACTGGAAGATAGCTAATGTGACACCAATATTTAAAAAGGGTGTAAGGTGAACCTGGCAATTAGCCCAGTAAATCTAATGTCAGTACCAGGCAAATTAGTTGAAGTTATAGTAAAGAATAAAATTGTCAAGACAGATGAACATAATTTGTTGGTGGGAAGCCAACATGGTTTCTCTAAAGGGAAGTAATGCCTTACTCATCTACCAGAGCTTCAGGGGGTGGCCAAGTTAGTCTGCACTAGAGTTCTTTGAGGGACTCAACAAACATGTGGACAAAGGGGATCCAAAAGATCTCCCATAACTTAGATTTCCAGAAAGCCTTTGACAAGATTCCTCACCAAAGGCTCTTAAGTAAAGTCAGTTATCATGGGATAAGATGGAAAGTCCTTTCATGGACTGATAACTGGTTAAAACACAGGAAACAAAGGGGTAGGCATAAATGGCAAGTTAGCAGAGTGGAGAGAGGTAACTAGTGGGGTCTCCCAAGAGTCTTGGACCAATCCTATTCAACTTGTTTATAAATGATCTAGAAAGAGGGGCAAACAGTGAGGTGGCAAAATTTGTAGAGGATACCAAACTGCTCAAGATAGTTAAGACCAAAGCAGACCGAAGACCTTCAAAAAGATCTCAAACTAAGTGTTGGGCAACAAAATGGCAAATGAAATTTAATGTTGATAAATGTAAATTAATGCAAATTGGAAAAAATAATCCCAACTACACATAGAATATGATGGGGAATAATTTGGCTACAACTACTAGAGAGATCTTGGAGTCATTGCAGACAGTTCTTTGAAAACATCCACTTAGTGTACAGTGGTAGTCAAACCAAATAGAATCATTAATAAAGGGATAGAAAATAAGACAGAATATCTTATTGCCTCTATATAAAACCATGGTATACCCACATCTTGAATACTGCATTCAGATGTGGTAGCCTCATCTAGAAGATATTGGCATTGGAAGAGGCTCAAAAAAAGGGCAACAAAAATTACAGTTTCGGAACAGGTCCCATATAGAGAGGTTAAAAATACTTGGACTTTTCAGCTTAGAAAACAGGAGACAAAAGGGGGAATATGATAAGAGGTGTATCAAGTCATGACTGGTGTGGAAAAAGTGAATAAGGAAGAGTTATTTACTTATTCCCACAATATAAGAATTGGGGTGGGGGGTCACCAAATGAAATGAATAGGCAGCAGGTTTAAAACAAAAGGAAGTTTTTCTTCACTCAACGCACAGTCAACCTCTGGGACGTAAATAAAATGCATAAATGCTTAAATATTAATTTTTTGTTTTGAATTCTCACTAGGGTTGCCAGATGGTTTCAACAAAAATACTGGATACACTTGACATTACAGCACAGTCGACATTACATCTTATTTAGAAAATACCATACATCTATATTTTCTCAGTTTGTTTCCCAAACAGAAAGCTCAAATACTGGCCTGTCCAGTCCAAACTGGACACCTGGCAACCCTAATTCTCACAGAACCCTTATTTTGACTTTTCAGAATTCCAGGGTTCCACAGAACACCATTTGGGAAACACTGCTCCAGAGGAATGCCCAGGGAATGGCCTCTAGCCAAGCCCTGGGAATACTGACAGCAGAGCAGAGCTAGCAAAGTTACTGATCTCATCTCCACCTCAAGCCAAAGCAGCACTAAATAGATAGCTAAGATGAGCTGCCCATTGTGATCCTTTGCAAAGGAAGCCACCTCCCCCCCCCGAAGTTAGAGACAGTCCTTAAAGCAACAGACTCAGATATGTCCCACAACTCTCTGTAGTGCCCAGCAGCTTCTCTAGTTCAGCACCCCCTCACCCTAAGGGGCCAGGCAGCTATGCACCAAAGGAGGGTCACCTCATTAGCAGAAAGCCCCTTTTAAGCCCAGCTCAGTAGGATTCCAAGCTTTTGAAGTAGGCCCAGCACCAGCCTGGGAGTTCTCAACCAGGACTTGCACTGGGAGATTCAGAAACACCACAGCTACTCCCAGCCACTCAGGGCCCTCTCCTTGCCCCTCCATCACTCACAGAGTGAGAGCTCCACATTTCCTGAGCGCTCAGTACCTTTTGTAGTTAAGTTACAGGATTTGCAGTTCAGGGGTTGCTTAACCAGAACCTTGAACTCACTCCAGGGCTTTCCCTTTCCCCTAGGCCACACAGGAAAAAGCTCCTGTGTCTTCCAGGTTCTAGCCAGCCCAGGCCTGTGGAGCCTGGGGCAGGGGGCTGGAGGGAAGGGAGCAGTCGGGCGGGGGGAGCTTGGAGAAAGAGGGTGGAGCAGGGGAGGGGAGGGGAGGGCTTGTTCCAGGGACCAGGAGAACTTTCTCTTACCTTCTGCTGCCCAGAGAAGGCCTGTGAATATAAGCCAAATGCCAAAGGACAAATCCATGGCAAAGAAGGCATGCCCAGGTTGCCTGCAACACACTTTACCCCCTGCACCTAGTAAACAACATACAGCAGCCCTCGCCTGAGACTCTTTATATAAGGGGGCAGGTCAGAGGCACACCTGGAACTGGCCTTCTGATTAAGGGATGATTAGCCCATTGTGCACAGCCCATATAACAAATAAAAGATGGCTACACGCATGCACTGCAGGGGGTAGTAGCACAGACTTATGAGGCAAACTCACAGCTAAAACTTCTAAGGCAGCAGTTTTCAGCCAGAAATGTGGAGGCCACTGTGACTGTGAGCAGGTCTCAGGGGTACACCAAGCAGGGCTGGCCTTAGACCAGTAGTCTCCAACCTTTTTAACCACAAGATCACTTTTTCAAGTTTGCTACATCTACACTGCAGAGTTTTTGTGCAAGAAAAAGTACAGTAGATCATCAGAAGACAGGGCTTTTTGCGCAAGTTATTCCTCCTTCCATGAGGAATAAGCCTTTTTGCAGAAGAGCTCTTGTGCAAAAAGGTGTGTGGACGGCCAGCAGGGCTGCGTCTAGACTGGCAAGTTTTTCCACAAAAGCAGCTGCTATTATCACCTCTAATATCATTAGCTCACAGACATTTACCTTCCTCCCCTCATCCCCCTTCTGTTCTGAAATTTGATTTGTCCTTTTCATATGTGTTCATTTTTTTAATTGTATCCTTTGGTATATATGGTTGTGACAATTTTCTTCCACTATTTGATCTGAGGAAGTGGGTCTGGCCCACGAAAGCTCATCACCTAATAAACCATCTTGTTAGTCTTTGAAGTGCTACATAGTCCTGTATTTTGTTTCAGCTAGACCAGACTAACACGCTACATTTCTATCACTATTAGATGAGAGCATCACAGCAGTTGGGATACAGCTGGAGGGCAGTCGAAGAGACTGGGTACTGAGATGTCTGAGGGCAGTCGAGGGACAACTAGGTGTCACTGGGTACCCAGGTCTCTGGGAGGGGCAGTCTGGATACAGCTGAGTGTCACTGGGTATCCAGGTCTCTGAGGATAGTCAAGGTCTAGCCAGGTGTCACTGGGTATCCTGGTCTCTGGGGGGCAAAGTCCACTTTTGCTCACTTCCATATTCTAGGGCTGTGTCTAGACTGGCCACTTTTTCTGGAAAAGCAAATGCTTTTCCAGAAAAATTTGTCAGCTGTCTACACTAGCCGCTTGAATTTCCGCAAAAGCACTGACGATCTCATGTAAGATTGTCAGTGTTTTTGCAGAAATACTATGCTGCTTCCATTCAGGCAAAAGTCTTTGCCAGTGTAGACAGCAGAGATTTGTTTTCCTCAAAAAAGCCCCAATCGCGAAAATGGCGATCGGGGATTTTTTGCGGAAAAGCGCGTCTAGATTGGCACGGATGCTTTTCCGCAAAAAGTGCTTTTGCGGGAAAGCATCCGTGCCCATCTGGACGCTCTTTTCCACAAATACTTTTAATGGAAAACTTTTCCGTTAAAAGCATTTCCAGAAAAGAAGTTACTCCCTTAAAGTGCCATAGGACTCCTTGCTGTTCTTTCAATCAAGTGATGCTACTGCAGCAGCTTTCCCCAGAGCAGGCAAGTTGAGTCCAGGGAAGGGCAGGGATGGAGTAGACTGGGCAGGGACTCTTCTGCCAGGGGGAGGGGGAGATTTGGGGTTTCCTGGGGGGAAGGGGAGGCTTGTGGTCCCAACTGAGAGGAGGGGACAGGAGGCCCATAGATTTCTGCCCTGGAGTCCTGGATGTCCAACAGCACCCAGCTCAGGTGTTTGGCCTCACGTCTCCTTCTCTCAGACTATAAAGAGAGCCCTCAGGTTGCTCTAACTTACACAGATGGACAGGTGGGCCCCTGCATGGTCTTAGACCAGCATGAGAAAAATGGACTGAAGCCCCTATCCCAGCCCAGGAACACAGGAAATGCCCATCTGGCCAAGGGGCTATGAGCTGAGCTGTGCCCTTGCTCCTACTGGGCCCACATCACCAACAGTGGTGGGAGCTTGCTCTCTCGCAGCACAAAGGCCAAATCTCCTTGTTCAGTCAACGCCTGTAGGCTCAGCAGAACGATGCTCAGAGACTTGGGGAACAATATAAACACCAGCATTTATTGGAAACAGTGTTAAACCAGCTCTGTGGGTTATTATTTGGGGGAGGGATAGCTTGGTGGTTTGAGCATTAGCCTGCTAAACTCACCATTGTGAGTTCAATCCTTGAGGGGGCCATTTAGGAATCTGGGGCAAACCTGTTAGGTGTTACACCTTGGTTCAGTGATGTGGTGGAAGCCTTGAGGGTTAAAGCCAATTACCCAGTGAAAACTACTGGATGATGGTGTAAAACAAATGATTTTTATTAAGTGGAATGATTCTTTTATCAAAACTAACAATTAGAAAATGGTCTTTTTAGCTAACAATTGCCTAATGCTTTTACAGAGTAGAAAACTTGAACATGACTATACCTAACTGATTACAATTCTTAGATTACAATTTACTTATATTAAATCACTATCTCTAATTCGCTTAACAAAAATACAAAAACAAAGACAATATAATGATAATGAAATCTCCGTCTAAAGCCAGCCTTTCTATGGTTATTTTAGGGCAGCTGGTGGAGTTAGTCATAAATCTACTTTTACAACTTAAGAACTCTTGGACTTCTATTTCTAACACTTACACTTAACCTAAATACAACACTACTACACAACACAAAATTATATGATTTACACAGTGTGGTTAACAGAACTTAGATACACTTTACAGAATTACACAGTGAAATTAACACAATTTAACTATTAATTAAACCAATAACTAATACATTTAAGCAATACTTACAAATCCAGCAACGATAACAACACAAAGACACACTACAACTCGGAGCATGCTCAGGACTCGCGCACCCCATATTTGACTCGAAGGGGGGGGGGAGGCAGGCTCCCGGGGGTCGGGCAAAAAAAGATACGTACCCTCAATACACGGAACCTTCGTCGAACAAAGGGGTTGAGGGTCTTTTATAACATAACCTGATATCTGGTACCTTATTAGGCTTAGTTCCTTGGCAGGGCCTGATAGGCTGGTAATGAGGTAACGTGAAATACTGCCCTATAGGATTTTTCATGATGCCCGCCTGATGGCCCCATGGACAGTGCTGGGTGTGGGCATGGTCACAACCATATATACCAAAGGATACAATTAAAAAAAATGAACGCATGGCAGTTGCGTCTTATCTCCTTATGCCTACCTCCCTGCTTTCAAGGACTGGTCAAGAGAGTCTTATTTATCTCTTGCAGCTTGTGTTCTATTTTTTCATGCTCACCTCCCTGTTCTACGATGCCTACAAGGCCAAATCCCATTTTACAGAAAGCTGCATTGTGCTTCCCATGCTTCTCTGAATATCTCACAGTCTGGGTTTTCTGTGAGGGGCCTTGTGTGGCAGGATGGGCAATACGCGAAGGCCATGGACAGAAAAAGCCTGCTTTACAACATTAGGTATGTGATAGAAATGTAGCCGTGTTAGTCTGGTGTAGCTGAAACAAAAAACAGGACTATGTAGCACTTTAAAGACTAACAAGATGGTTTATTAGGCGATGAGCTTTTGTGGGCCAGACCCACTTCCTCAGATCAAATAGTGGAAGAAAATTGTCACAACCATATATACCAAAGGATACAATTAAAAAAAATGAACACATATGAAAAGGACAAATCAAATTTCAGAACAGAAGGGGGATGGGGTGGGGGGGAAGGTAAATGTCTGTGAGCTAATGATATTAGAGGTGATATTTGGGGAAGCTATCTTTGTAATGGGTAAGATAATTAGATTCTTTATTCAGACTCAGGTGTAAAGTGTACTTGGTCCTGCTGTGAAGGCAGGGGACTAACCTTTCAAGGGCCCTTCCAGCTCTAGGAGATAGGTATAGCTCCATATATTTTATTATATACATGTAAAGTGCAACATTTCCAACAGCTGTCTAAATTAAGTCAGGGAGGGCAGTGAGTGGTTTCCCTCCCAGCACAAGTGCACAAAATTGCATTGCTCTGCACTGTCAGAGACAGCTCAGTTGAGGGAGTCATCCTTCAGAGAGGTTCTTTGCCTTGGCAGGTTTTGCCCAGTACCTCCATGCATTCAAAAGAACAGAACATTGCTGGGAGGGGTGCTCGCACCCTCTTCCCCAAATAGGGACAAGATGCTGTGCAAGGACTGGATCCTTTGCAATCAATTCTCCTGTTTCTCAACCCACTTCCACCCTATTTTCTCAGCGGCTGTGTGTAGACTGGCCAGTTTTTTCGGAAAATCGGCCGCTTTTCCGGAAAAACTTGCCAGCTGTCTACACTGGCCGCTTGAATTTCCGCAAAAGCACTGACTTCCTACTGTAAGAAATCAGTGCTTCTTGTGGAAATACTATTCTGCTCCCGTTCAGGCAAAAGTCCCTTTTGCGCAAAGTTTTTGCACAAAAGGGCCAGTGTAGACAGCTCAGATTTGTTTTCCTCAAAAAAGCCCCGATCGCGAAAATGGTGATTGGGGCTTTTTTGCAGAAAAGCGCGTCTAGATTGGCCACGGACGCTGTTCCGAAAATGCTTTTAACGGAAAACTTTTCCGTTTAAAGCATTTCCGGAAAATCATGCCAATCTAGACGCAGCCAGCATATTTTAAAAATTAGCAGGGAGTGAATTACAGAGCCTTCTCAGATACGAAAATTGGGTATTGGCTCTCAGATGTGAGGCTGGGGCTGGTAGGCCATTTGCAATCCTCTGCTCATATAACTAATCAAAGATTCAGGCTATGTCTACAATGCTGTTTTTTTGGAAAAAGGTACGCAAATTGTAAACTGCAATTTGCGTACCTTTTTCCAATTCTTTTTTTGGAAGAGGCTTTTCTGACATTTGGCCTGTCTACATGGGGCCAAATGTCAGAAAAATCTCCTCTTTCGGAAAAAAGTGAGGAAGACAGGGCTTCCAAAAGGGCACATCTGCTCTTCCAAAAAAAATTTCAGAAGAGCAGATGCATTCCCATGACTTGGCGGAGTTTTTCCAGGATACTGCCAAGATTCCAGAAAAACTCCGTAGTGTAGACATAGTCTATGTTTGTCACTCTGGGTCAGATTTTTCAGGTTAATCAGGCTGATTCAAATTGAGGAAAGATGTCTGGGCAGGAAAACACAAACTCTTCTTTTTGTCACTACAGACCAAATTCTGCTCTCTCAATCAGTTCAAACCCTAGAATTCCATCAGCCTTAAACTCTGAGGCATGGATCAGAGAGGATTCTGGATGGAAGTTTGGGTGAAGAGAAAGAAATCAAAAGAGAAACTGTGGAATTTATTTTTGCTGTGGTGGTAAGAATGGAACCAAATTTTTACAGGTTCTTCAGTAAAGTTGTCAGCAGAAAATTCGGTCTATTGTCCTATTATCTTTCCTTCTGCCTCCTGGAGCAGAAAAGGGGCAAGCTTGTGAAACAAAAAAGATCAGACAATGAACTGAATTACCCAATATGAACCCTGACCCCGCTCAATGGAAACACGATCAGGGCCATTCAAAAACAACAAAGCATTTTGCCCTCAAGCACAGAGTACAGGAGATGGCATAATTCTGAAGTTACCTGCCATGACTTCACATAGGAAATAAGAGAGATGCTTACTAGTTATGGTTAACTGGCAGGGGCTGGAGCAGCCCAATCCTCCCCCTACTGTAGGCAGGGAGCTGCTCAAGCCCCAAGGGGCCCACTGATGGTAGAGGACTTCTGCCTGGCTAGAACAGTCCCCATCTGCAGTGTACATGGAGGTGTCACTCCAGCCCGTCTGTGGTGGGCAGGGGGCTTAAATGGTTAAACTTAATGTTTAATTTGATAATTAAAAGAGATTTTACATCCCTAATAGGAAAGCAATAGGGACAGATCAGCCATGAGTTCTTTTAAGACAGGACTTAGGAGAGACTGGGAGGTTGGCAAAGGGTATATGACCTTAAAATCTCAGTGCTCCTCAAAAAGCAGAGTACACTCCTTTCTTGCATCTTGCCCATCTTCACTTCTTTTCTTTGCATTGTAGGGTCCAACGCATTTGGTCAGAGATGTGGGCTTTAACACGGGGAGGTGGAGGAGTCTGGCCAAGTTGCAGAGAGGTATCCAGTGACATCTTAGTGCAATGGACATGAGGGACACTGTCAGGATGGAGCACCCTTTGGGGCTGTAAATGGAAACACACCAAGTCTGTCCTAGAAAGGAAGGGAAACAGTGCTGACCAGTGCTCCAAAGGACAAGTGGTGCCTGCTAATGGCACAGCACCTCTGTCTCAAACTGCAGGAGCTGTCCCATGAAGCCAAAGTTGGGAGAGATGACCCCCTGGCGCTGCTTGATGAAGTCAAAGGCTTCCTCCAGGCACACCCTTTGGGTTTGGATCAGATGGTGGCTGAGCGGGAGATGCCAGCCTGGCAGTGCACTAGCACTCGCCCACCGCTGCTCTTCACTGAATCTGTGGGAGCAAATCAAGAGGGTCATTGAGTCCTATCGGGACCCCTGGGCTAAGAATGTCGTAATCTTCCTGAAACTCTGCACCCTTTGCCCTCCGAACGCTATAGTCAGGGCTGTCTTGGCCATACAATGGTTCGGGGCGGCACTTGATGGGGGGCCCCACGGCGGCCATCTCAACCAGCCTATAGATGGGGCTGGCACAGGGTGGCAGCAGGGATCACTTCCTGCTCCTAGCATTCACTGGGATTACAGGAGTGGCTCGGCAGCCTGCTCCACTCTGCCCTGCTGAGCTCTCCATGGCAGCAGGAAGCAGAGTGCCCTGGCCCGAAGACTTCCTGCTGCTGTGGAGAAACAAGGCACAGCAGGCTAGGAGGGCAGTGCAGCAGGGCAGGCACAGTGAAGAGGACCAGGCTGCTAGTAGGCTGCTCTGGATCCCGCTGCCTTGGTGAATGTTGGGGGGAGAACTTGTTGCTACCTGGCCCGCAGTAGTGCCCTGGTGGTGGAGCAGGGATGTGAAGGGGAGTGGCAGGGTGGTGAAGGGGTGGGGGGATGGGGTGGAGCAGAGGTGGGGCCTGTGGTGGGGTAGCCCCAGGCCCCATGCCTCCCTCTGGATGGCCTTGCCTCCAATAAACCACCAGGCCTTCCCCTGGAAACCCAAACTCTCCACTTGTGTCTTCCTCACAGAAAGGAGGCAAATGCTCTGTGCACCAATGGGCTCACTGGAGACGTCTGTACCAAGCATGTCTCTTGAACCGGACAGTCCAGTATTTTAGCTCTGTTCAGGAAACAAATTGAGAAAATAGAAATGTCCGGTATTTTCAAATAGGGTGTAATGTCGATTGGGATGTAATGGCAGGTGTGTCCAGTATTCTTGTTGAAACCATCTGGCAGCCCTACATGTCTCAAGTCCATGGCAGGACATGCCCAGTGCAGAGCTCTCAGCCCTCCATCTCACTCCTTTCTGGGCACTGATCCAGCAGAGCCCTGGGCCTGATTCTGCTCTCACCCCAGTGTAACCCCATCAAAGCCACTGGAGTGATCAGTGGCTGTGAGAGGGGAATCAAGCCCTGCCCTGTTTGACTATAAGGAAGTGTATGAACCATTGCTTTTCATGGGACATTGCCCATAGGGAAGAAATGAGGTTGGGTGGGGCAGAACACAGTTAGGAATGAGACCCTGCCAGTGTTGGAACTGAGCCACAAGGCTGGACTGGATGCTGGCACACAAACGTTCTTCCTCTGCAGGGGTTTAATATTGCTTCAGGCCGGACATTATGGGCAGAATCCAAACCCCAATCAGTTGGGTCAATGGAAACTCCTGCTCCTTTCAATGGGCTTCAGATGAGCCCTATGAAAAAGCCTCGTCTAGGGGCATTAGCAGGACTGCAAGGGGGAAATGGATGCACAGTGAATCCATAATGAACCTTGTGCTTACCAATAAAGCCAATGGCCTCCTGGAACCAGACACTGATCTCAGCCAAGTGGCTGTCCTCCACAGGGATACTCTTGTAACGAAACTGCCCTTCAAAATGATTGGGGCAGCTGGCAGAGACATTGAGCATGGCGGTGATGCCCTAGGATTCCAGCACCTCCTTGTTGGAGGAATGGTAGCAGCTGCCCAAGTAGAGGAATGGCAAGATTTCCACAGGGCCATCCTAGAAACAAGCATAAAGACAAGATGAGGCCTTCCTCCTCTGGGCTGATTTCACAGCTTGACACTCCCTTTGGGATGTGCACCCAGCTCTTCTGAGATCACCTGGGGATGTATGTGTGCATTCAAGGCAGTCGGGGCTGGGATGCTTCACTATTCATTCCCAAGCCTGCAAACAATAGGGGTAGTCATGGAAACCCCATTTGGGCCATCTGAGCTGCCTGAGGCAGAGAAGAGAAGGACATAGGCATTACCTCCATGTCAATCTGTTTGTCTGTGTATTCTACTCATATACCCCTCATCTCTGCTGGCTCTAAGTGCTACTTCAGCAATGATACTAGGAGATTAGACAGATGGACAGATGAGATTAGGGCCTGGAGTGAAGTGATAATAGACCTTGCACTTGACCTTGCCCCAAAAAGCCAGATCAATAAGTGATTAATTTAATCTGCAAGCCCCGCAAATCCTGCTGACAGATGTCTGGCCATACTCAAAGATATTTCCTGATGCTGTTGGAGGCTTTGGAAAAACTCCTATTTTCTGAAATAGGATCAAGGACAGGTCCTAAAACAAAATTAATGACTAATCATTGTGGTACCCAATGCTAACCCCTTCAGTCTAGAAGAGTCTGGATCTGCAAAAGAGACTGTAGCACCTTATAGACTAACAATACATCTATTAGTCTATAAGGTGCTACAGGACTCCTTGTCACTTTTGCCCATGAATACTGATGTCAACAGGTCTCTCAGTCTTCCTCATCCTGAATGGTCCCTTAAATGCCATCAGAACCAGGTATGTAAGCGACTAGTTAAGTGACTACTTGCCCCCACCCCTATGCCTCTGTACCAGAGACAGCAAGAGGAGGAAGCAGGAGACAGTGCTAGAGGGGGAAGAGGAGACAGAGCTAACCCTTCTTCAGCTCTGCACTTTAAATGTAGTAAGAGCTCAGCAGCTCTTATTACATTTAAATTCAGAGCCACAGCAGTGGTAGCAAGCCCCCCCCCCATCGACTAGTTGAGGGAAATTCCATCGACTACTCGATAACTAATTAACCATTACTTAACATCCCTAATCAGAACCTATCCTGTAAGAGTCCATGGGCTCTGTGGTGTCTACATTTGGGATTAGTGGGTATGATTGTAGCAGGTCAGCCTTCAAGCCCAAGATGTCTGCATTGTGATGAAGTCAGGAATATTTAGAAAGGGGTGATGGTCCCAATGTTGCTGTCATCTTTGGGGTCTCTGAGGGCTGGCAAGGGGGAGGGAGCACAGTTTTGGAAAGCAGGCTTGGAAACCACTGAAAGCCCCTGCAAAGAACACATCACCCAGACTCGCTCATTAATGTTGGGAGCAGACAGAGCACTGCAGGTTAGCACAGGTGCAGGGGCAGATGGGCCAGGGTTAAACAGGCACTGGACCAGTCGAGAATAACAGGCAGAAATGTTTTACACAGATGTGCCCAGAAAGTGGGACTGCCTTTGTGGGCTCACAATGCATTTTGAAATGGGTTTGGTTACTGCAGCTTATTGGGAAAGAGGGGCTCCTTCTCCAAGGCCTCCCAAAACTGGGGGCAGGAGCCATGTGCCAATCAAGCCCCATGCCAGTGCACGTTTATAGCTCTCAGGAGTACTATGCGCAATTCAGTGAGCATCAGGCCTTGGGCGAAGAGTTTCTGAATTCATACATTTGAATGTGTGAGGGAGAGGACGGAGTGTGAGAGAGAGATTCCTGTTTGTAATGGGCATGTTTACAAGTGGAAGTTTTTGCTGTATTTGAGGGTGGTTGTGAACAGGAGTGGTCCAACGCCGGCTGCTGCAGGCACAATCAGCACCCCCCACCTGAACGGCCGTGACGTAAACACGGGGCACCCCGTGATGTCATCATCAGGCATCCAGGCCAGCGGCACCCTAGGCAACTGCTTAAGTTCATGGGCTGCCCCTGGTTGTGAAGGTCTGTAAGTTTGTGGGGTGCTAGTTAGTGTGTCACGTTGTGAAAGTGTGTGAGATTGTTTGTGTGACATGAGCTATGCAGAAAAGCTGAAGGAACTAGGCTTATTTAGTTTGGAAAAGAGAAGACAGAGAAAAACCAAAGCTGTGTTCAGGTATCTAAAAGGGTGTCACAGAGAGGAGGGAGGAAATATTGTTCTCCTTGGCCTCTGATGATAGGACAAGAAACAATGGGCTTAAACTACAGCAAGGGAGGTTTTGGTTGGACATTAGGAAAAACTTCCTGTCAGGGTAGTTAAACACTGGAATACATTGCCTAGGGAGGTTGTGGCATCTCCATCACTGCTGATATTTAAGAGCAGGTTAGGCAGATATCTATCAGGGATGCTTCTAGTTATACTGGTCTATGAATTATGATGTTGTGAAGGAGTTTGTGATTTGTGTGTGTTTGTCTGTCTGTCTGTGTTCCGGGGATGTAACTATCTCTATACCAAGGGAGGATACTGGCAAAACAGAGAATTTCAGAGCCTGATGTTCGGGGGAGGAAGGGGGTCTGGCACCTGGAGCTTCTGTTAACTCCAATTAGCATTTTGGATGGCTGGCCCTTCTGAAAATCAGTCCCCAAAAGGCTATGCAAGGCAGAGGCGTAGGGTGCCAGGTGGGAGCTGGAAAATCTGTGTTCTGAAGGGGAGCGCTGTCTGGGGGATGCCGGGGAGGTGCCTTTACCTCGCAGCAGGAAGATGAGCGCATGGCTGGCTCCGGCCTCCAGCAGCAGGGTGCCAAGCAGCAGCCGGGCCAGGCTATCAATCCGCAGAACCTGCATCGAGTCGCTGTCCTCGTCCAGCACCACCAAGCGGGAGAACTCGCCTCCGCTGAGCCGTGCCTGCGCTCCCCATCCGAAAGCAGCTGGTCCAGGCTGGGGCCGGCTCTGCCACTGGCCCTGCGGCGCAGCAGCCCGCTCCAGCGCACGTGCGCCCGGCACAAGGCAAGGAAGGGGCAGCAGTCCAGCACCAGCGTCCGCCCGGTCGCTTCGGGCTCGCGGAGCAGCCTGGTGAGCTCTGCGCTCTCCGGGAGCAGCACCGCCTGGTTCACCATGGCCGGGCGGGGCCGGGGCTAACAGCGCAGTGGAGCAGCAGGGCCAGCACGAGCGGACAGTGCGCGCAGTGTTGCTCCAAAACTGGGCGCACGGACGAAGTCGCAGCGTAGCGCCCCGCTCTGCGACCTTAAATACCCAGAGCATGGCCCGGCCCCGGGCAGCCATATAAGGGCGCGAGTCGCGGGGGAATTCAGGCCGCCCACTGCGAGTGCGCGTAGGGGAAAGGTTTTTTTCCCTATCAGGGTGAATGCGTACCTATTAGGATGTGTGCTCCTGCGCGTGCGTGCGGCTCTCGTGCTCATGCCTGTGTGTAGCTCATTATTTGTGTGCGTTTCTCTGCATGGCCACATGTATCCCAGCGTGAGCAGTGCTGGGAGGAGTTTGCTTGCAGGTTTGCATGTGAAGGGACAGGCCCTGTGTAAAGATAACTCAGATTTTTGGGGCTACCAACCCTCTCCAGTCTCCCCAAACTCTCCCGTGGTTCTCAGTAGCCCCATGAAAGCTTTTCTGTCTCACCCCTTGCCCAGACCAGACAATGTACAGGCAGTCCCCGGGTTACATACAAGATAGGGACTATAGGTTTGTTCTTAAGTTGAATTTGTATGTAAGTCGGAACTGGTACATATTGTAGGGGAAACTCTAGCAAACATTTCTCCAGAGCTCAGTTTTATTCTCCCACACCTCACTTCCCTCAGTCCTTTATTCTCAAGCTGAGGTGTCTGCTGAGAAAAGCCGCTCTGCGTCTCCCTGCTCTGCTGGGGGGAAGCAGCTAGTGTGGGGTTGCCTCACCCCGTTTGTAAGTAGGGGTCTGATGTAAGTCGGATCCATGGAACCCGGGGACTGCCTGTACTTAAAAATATTTTAGAATTATAATATTATTCCCAGAGCCTATCCATCCCCACCCACTTTAGAAGGGTGCTAGCTGTGATGATTAAGGCTGGTAACCCTCCAGGATTGACCTGGATATCCCTATGAAAGCAAACTGGGAGATTTTAAGAAATTTATATTGTGTCACGTGTGGGGGGACCTTCAGGAATAGCTCTGGTCAGAGTTTGTGGCACTACAGGGAGGATTACAGTCCCAGAATGTGAAACTGCAGGAGCAGAGGGACACAGGGACAATCCATACAAATCTCTGTTCAAAGAGTTCTGGTCCCATCTTACACTTTGGCTTTACCAGGTCTGTTCTGGTTCTGACTCATCCTTTCCCCAATCCAGGCCTCTTCTGGCAGCTAGACACAGGACTAGAGGCAGAATAGTGATAGAAATGTAGCCGTGTTAGTCTGGGGTAGTTGAAGCAAAATGCAGGACAATGTAGCACTTTAAAGACTAACAAGATGGTTTATTAGATGATGAGCTTTCGTGGGCCAGACCCACTTCCTCAGATCAAATAGTGGAAGAAAATAGTCACAACCATATATACCAAAGAATACAATTAAAAAAAAACACTGGAGATATTCCACAGAGATTTCAACAACCTACACCCCACCATCAACCTCAGCCTGGACCATTCTACACGAGAGATCCACTTCCTGGACACCACCGTACAAATCAACAATGGAAAATTAGACACCACTCTCTACAGAAAACCCACTGACTCATACAGTTACCTACATGCATCCAGCTCCCATCCAGAACACACCACACGATCCATCGTCTATAGCCAAGCCCTTCGATACAACCGCATCTGCTCTAACCCCACTGACAGAGACCAGAAGCTTCAGGATCTCTACCAAGCATTTATAAATCTCAACTACCCACCCAGAGAAACAAAAAAGCAAATTGAAAGAGCCAGACGAATACCTAGAAACCATCTACTTCAAGACAGACCCAAGAAAACCAACAATAGAACACCACTTGTCATCACCTACAACCCCCAACTTAAACCTGTCCAACACATTATCAATAAACTACAGCCTATATTGGAACAGGATACCATACTCAAAGAGGCTCTGGGAGACAGACCCATAGTCTCCTATAGACAACCACCTAACCTCAAGATGATTCTTACCAACCACCACAGGACATACCACACTAATACCAACCCTGGTACCTTCCCTTGCAACAAACCCCGTTGCCAGCTTTGTCCACATATTCATTCTGCTGATACCATTATTGGACCTAACCAAGTGAGTTATAAGATCAAGAACACATATTCCTGCGCATCCAGAAATATAATCTACGCTATCATGTGCCGAAAGTGTCCGTCTGCTATGTACATTGGACAAACATCTCAGACACTTCGCCAAAGGATTAATGCCCACAAAACAGATATCAGACAAGATCACAAAGAGAAAACAGTTTCTTGCCACTTTAACCAGAAAGGACACTCTCTAAATGACTTAGCCACCTGCATTCTGCTACAAAGACCTTTTACATCTGCACTTGAAAGGGAATCCTCTGAACTGTCATTCATGTTAAAATTCGACACTTACCACCAGGGACTTAACAAGTCTTTGAACTTTCTCACCCATTATCAAGACAGTTTCCCCAATTATCACCTGTAATACCATTAACTCACAAACATCCCACTCTCCCTACCTTTAATATCAGCAATTCACAGACACTTACCTTCCTTCCTCCCCCTTCCCACCCCCCCGCCTCCTCCTTCTGTTCTGCAATGTGATTTGTCCTTTTCATATTTGTTCATTTTTTTAAATTGTATCCTTTGGTATATATGGTTGTGACTACTTTCTTCCACTATTTGATCTGAGGAAGTGGGTCTGGCCCACGAAAGCTCATCATCTAATAAACCATCTTGTTAGTCTTTAAAGTGCTACATTGTCCTGCATTTTGCTTCAACTACCCCAGACTAACACGGCTACATTTCTATCACTATTCTACATGCAAGGCACTACATTTAGCCGTTTGGAATGGAAATCCATCAACCATATGAAGAAACTCGCACAGATACAGACAGACATCATCTTTCTATCCAAGTGCAAGAAAATGGACATCGTACCCAAAGGACTGAAAGTGAACAATCCACTAAGATCAACATACTTCACTGACTACAGTGAAAGACTCTGCCTCACACTATCCAAGAAATTAAGAAACCACCTGATAAGTATTTTATACAAGAAACAGAAAACCATCAAGAATGACATTTCTAACTTAGATCGTCTCATCTCAAGACAAACATCCACACCGACTGACACCTTGCAAGACTTTTGTTCCACCAGACAAGAAATCTACTATACACACTTCTATTCCCTACAACAAAGAAAAGACAATAAATTTTCTAACCTGCTCCATACCACTGGCTACAACAGCAACTGCCTCAACCCACCGGATAATATTGTTAACCTCTCCAGCTACAAACTCAATCCAGCAGAAGAGTCTGTCTTGTCCCGGGGTCTCTCTTTCTGCCCCACGTCCCCCACAAACTGGATACAATTTTGTGGTGACCTTGAGGCTTTTTTTCGCCGCCTCCGTCTCCGAGAATATTTCCAAACCACCACTGAACATCAATCTGACCTACCAGATCCCCCCTACCAACACCAAAGGAAAAATAATTCTATATGGACTCCCCCTGACGGTCGGAATTACAATCTGGATTTCTATATACACAGCTTCCGCAACAACGCACAGACTGACATTATTCGCAAACGACAACAAGCGACACACAATCTTAGCCGCGCTGAACACCATGCCATCCAGAGTCTCAAAAACAACCTGGACATTGTAATCAAACCAGCTGACAAAGGGGGTGCTGTGGTCATTATGAATAAGGCCGACTATAACCAGGAGGCAACCAGACAACTCTCGAACACCACATTTTACAAACCTCTCCCCTCTGATCCCACCTTGGACTACCAAAAGAAACTACACTGTCTCCTTAAAAGCCTCCCCACAGCTACTCGGGAACAAATCCTCACAGAATCACCTTCTGACCCCCGACCAGGATTGTTCTATCTACTTCCCAAGATCCATAAACCTGGGCACCCCGGACGTCCCATCATCTCTGGTATTGGCACGCTCACTACTGGTCTATCCAGCTATGTAGACACTCTTCTCAAACCCTTCGTAACCAATACCCCCAGCTATCTCCGAGACACTACTGACTTCCTAAGGAAACTACAAAACATCGATAACCTCCCCAATAATACCATCCTTGCCACCATGGATGTAGAAGCTCTATATACCAACATCCCACATGAAGACGGATTACAAGCAATTAGAAACACTATCCCAGAGGACACTACTGCCAACCTGATAGCAGACCTATGTAACTTTGTTCTCACCCACAATTATTTCCGGTTTGAGAACAACTTATACCTCCAGATCAGCGGCACAGCCATGGGTACACGCATGGCCCCACAGTATGCTAACATCTTTATGGCTGACCTAGAACAACGTTTCCTCAACTCCCGTCCCCTTTCACCCCTCCTCTACCTACGGTACATCGATGACATCTTTATGATCTGGACACATGGCCAAGAAACACTGGAGATATTCCACAGAGATTTCAACAACCTACACCCCACCATCAACCTCAGCCTGGACCATTCTACACGAGAGATCCACTTCCTGGACACCACCGTACAAATCAACAATGGAAAATTAGACACCACTCTCTACAGAAAACCCACTGACTCATACAGTTACCTACATGCATCCAGCTCCCATCCAGAACACACCACACGATCCATCGTCTATAGCCAAGCCCTTCGATACAACCGCATCTGCTCTAACCCCACTGACAGAGACCAGAAGCTTCAGGATCTCTACCAAGCATTTATAAATCTCAACTACCCACCCAGAGAAACAAAAAAGCAAATTGAAAGAGCCAGACGAATACCTAGAAACCATCTACTTCAAGACAGACCCAAGAAAACCAACAATAGAACACCACTTGTCATCACCTACAACCCCCAACTTAAACCTGTCCAACACATTATCAATAAACTACAGCCTATATTGGAACAGGATACCATACTCAAAGAGGCTCTGGGAGACAGACCCATAGTCTCCTATAGACAACCACCTAACCTCAAGATGATTCTTACCAACCACCACAGGACATACCACACTAATACCAACCCTGGTACCTTCCCTTGCAACAAACCCCGTTGCCAGCTTTGTCCACATATTCATTCTGCTGATACCATTATTGGACCTAACCAAGTGAGTTATAAGATCAAGAACACATATTCCTGCGCATCCAGAAATATAATCTACGCTATCATGTGCCGAAAGTGTCCGTCTGCTATGTACATTGGACAAACATCTCAGACACTTCGCCAAAGGATTAATGCCCACAAAACAGATATCAGACAAGATCACAAAGAGAAAACAGTTTCTTGCCACTTTAACCAGAAAGGACACTCTCTAAATGACTTAGCCACCTGCATTCTGCTACAAAGACCTTTTACATCTGCACTTGAAAGGGAATCCTCTGAACTGTCATTCATGTTAAAATTCGACACTTACCACCAGGGACTTAACAAGTCTTTGAACTTTCTCACCCATTATCAAGACAGTTTCCCCAATTATCACCTGTAATACCATTAACTCACAAACATCCCACTCTCCCTACCTCTAATATCATCAATTCACAGACACTTACCTTCCTTCC